TAAAGTAGTGTAAACTTAAGTATTATCATATATCCTGTGCTAGTATAAGATAATTTGACACAAGAAAATTCATTATAAATCCTAACAGGAAACTGAAATATTATTGTTGAAATACTAAGGTAACTTGTAAACAAAGCCATAGATTGCATTTTCGCTAAGGAGAAAGTTACTTCAAATGACTTCAGGTACCCCCATTTCCAGATTGTGAGACATTTTTAGGACATCCTGTATAATTGTAGTAAAAGTAAAATTTTAAAATATGTACTGAATAATGTACAAATTAAAAAGTGTAGTATGATATTAAAAAATTAGTACATATTGAATTATTTATCATGCATTACATTTGCAGCTTTACCAGATGTCATACATGCAGTTGCAAAGTATGAAGTAGAATTTGAACCAAGAGAAATATTCTTTTTTCGGGAAGGCACTGTAGTGATGTGGAATGTCACTGATCTTGAATATGACAGTATATTAAAATTTTTAAAAAATTATGAAGAGAATTCTTATACAGAGTTCATGATTCAAGCAGAAAGAGAATTAATGACATATGCTCATACAGATAGTGGGTAAACAAATTTATATGCTTTTAGAATGTATCATAAAACATTATTTTTCATTGTATTTAATTTATTTTTCCATTTCTAATTAAATCTTTATATATTTATATATTGTTTTATATAATTCTTGGCAGGAAACAAAGTCACATTAAAAATGGAAATATTATGTTATCACTGACTGCAACAAATCTAGATAAATATACATTTTCAAATGCAATTGCTCAATCAGTGAAACTAGGTATATGGGAAGCATCATTGGATAATTATATAGACTCCATAGAACTTGTCACTGAGGACTTAAAATTTGGCAGAAAGCTTAGAATAAGTCAGCAAGAAGTATTAAAAAAACAGGGAGAACTATTTGCATTGAGACATTCAATCAATTTAAGTTCGGATTTGTTAGATACTCCTGACTTCTACTGGGAAAGAGACGATTTGGAAATTTTGTATCAACACACATGTTCATATTTCAATATTACAAAACGTACAAGAGTAAGTTGTTAATAGGTGTTGATAAAGAATATTTCTAGTTTTTTAATTGTTATCGAAGATGTATTTAATCTAATTTTACACTACAGGTTATTAATGAGAAAATAAGTCATTGTGTGGAGCTTGTTGGAATTTTATCTTCGCATTTAAGCGACCGTCATCATATCCGTTTAGAATGGATGATTATTGTCCTTATTATGGTTGAAGTTGGTTTTGAAACAATACACTACATAGACAGATATTTAGGTTAACAATATAGTCAAATAATTGAAATTATTTATTACGTATATTGTGCATATTTATAAAAAAATCTAAATATGCGTTAAAAATGAAATTAGATATGTAACATTTTTAATTTTAACATAATATAATAAAATAAAAAATTAGTACATTAGATACCATGATTATTTGTTATTTAATTATCACCTACCTGTTCACATTTTTAGGTAAAAACCTTCCTTTTTTTAAATTAAAACTGCCTTTTTAAAACATGTAAGAACTCATTAAAATTTAGATGAAATTTAATATCTATGATTTAAAGACTTAATAATTTTAGTCGGCTGAGTTTCTTTCATCTCTGTCGTGTATATGTATGTATACATAAGATACAGGCGACGCAACGGCTACAAAGCATAGCACGTCAATAATTGCAATATGGGACAAGGACATACATTTTCCTCAACACGGTGTTTCTGATTACGTATAATTGACGATAAATTAATATTGTGTATTCATTTACAATGAATTAACAACATTTCATTTCGATTATTCCTATTTTGGATTTTTATGTAATTTGTTTGTAATTCCATTTTTATTGAACTTGTGTACATACTATATATCATTACTATTTTGTATAAATATATTACTCATCATAAATGTCCCACGTCAAAAGTAAACAATATATTTATACAAAATAGTGATATGAATCTTAGTTTTACAGATATACATGTATGATATTTTACAAACAGTTTGAGATTCGATATATATTTTCACACAAGTGTAAGTGAGATACCTAAATTATGAATTATTATGGCGGAAATAAATATTAAGATCTTTAGAACCGGCATGGGGATCGGTTTTAAGGATTTATTATGGATAATAATTACATATATCCAATAATTTTTTAATCAAATGAGCTAAAAGTATGTATTAATCTAATATTACAAATAAAAGATCACGAGACTTTTTTAATGAATATAAACATGTAATGTTTGTACAGTAAGAGTGGCAGAGTGTAAGGGAGATAGTTTAGCAACCTAAATATTGTAAACCGAGTCCCTTTTCGTATCCGGAAGTCTGAAAATAAAATATTCTGTTCTATTAATATATATTTACGACATTGTTAATTAAATTATCCGTTTACTTTATTATTTTCTATTTTGTATTCAAGTTGATTAAGTAATCCAAATAACATTTCTTTTTAAAAAAAACGTATGACTAAGAAAATATTTAATAAATTCTTTACATACAAATTTATTGAAATATAAAATAAAATATTAGTTCATTCGAAGTAAAAGAAAGATAATTTTTACGTGCAAATAATTGTAATAACATTTGTTGATAAAATTTTCAACATGCATTTAAATTACTGAAGTCTGTAAAACGCATATTGAATTTTCATTATGGGCTCAAATAAAGAAGTTCTCAACTAATTGCAATTTCTGGAAATATATTCTTTTACACATTATCTAGTAAAATCCTTCGTACATCTCAAGAAAAATCCTGGTCGTATAGTCCAATTTTAAAAAAAGTTATTCGGTTTTAAAAGGTGTATACTTACTTTTGCTCATTACTGTATACTATTCGAGAACATAAACATTTTTTTAATATGTTATTTAAATAATAATGTTTAAGTTTAGTGCGGACTTTCGATATACTTGTCAGTAAATTTCCTAGATACATCCCTGTGAATCGCACGCATGCCACGCACCCTCTTGCGCCAGTATCGAAAGAGAAGTGGAGTCGTAGGCTAGTTTCTGCGATAATACATAGCACTGCATAGCACCCACTTGTCGGCTTGCTGATAGCGTGGCAAGTACAGTTCTATACTCTGTCCTCCACGCAAGTCATATCCTGCGGACTGTTTCGTAATTAGTAAAGACACCAGTTATCCGCAACCGTCGTACTGCCTAACATTCGATAATTAAAGTTTGGTGTGACAGCTTGTCCTTTAATTAACACTCACATGACAGAAGAAATTCACAGATTTCGTAAGTATATGAATTATTTCGAACAACTGCTCACTTTTAATAAGAAAATTCCTATCGCTTGTACCTTATTGGCGGATTAATAAATAAATTTTATTAATTGACAAGACAGAAGTTTCACAAAGCAACGTATGTCCACCGTTCTTTCCGAAAGAATTTTTGAAACACTTTGTCCTTCATTATAATAATCTATCCTACAGCTAACAATGAAGTAGATAATGTCTGATATCTTTATTGTGCTACATTTTCTATGAGAAATGGTTAAATGAATGATAGTTTACAGTCTAGAATACGTAATTGCGGTACATTTGATTCGCAAGGTACGCGTTAATTCGTTTTATGTAGTTTTGGTAATATTATGTACGTGTGTAGTGTCGGGTAAATTGTTTGCAATGCAACGCATGAGTTATGACGATACGTGTCACAAGTTTCGATTGATCGCCCTTCAACATAGGACTTTCGCGCTCATTCTTTTTTTCAGTCACTATAAGACTGCCACGCGTCCGACACGAGCTATCCCTCCCTTCCTCGCCCTTTCCACGCAACCACTTCCTAACATTTTCCCTTTCTGTAATGACTAATGTGACTATAGTCCATATGCAACGCAATGATTTCACACAAGACCTTATCTGATCAACACGGTGTATTATAATATAGATTTGTGTTTTCTTTATTATTTGTTCGTGCATGTGTTTCTTTATAATAATTACAAAATTACGATAATTACGAAAAAATATTTGGCGATAAAAATATTTGATTTCTCTGTTACGAGAATAGCTTCCTTCCGGTTTTTAACCCATTCAAATACATTCTGTTATATTTAGAAGATATTCTCCCGGGTTTTGTAACTATTAAAGTTGTTCCGTAACAAGAAAATAAGGGTCGACGCAAGAACCATTGCAATATCGATTATGTACAAATATAGATAGTCTTCTTTTAGAAACTTAAATCACGTAGAAATGAAAACAGATACTTGTTGCGCCCGTATTTTAAAATGGAAGCTATTCTTTCGGAATACACCTTATTTTTCGGACAAACGTTGACACAAGTGCTATATTTAAATCGCAATCGTAGATACGTCTATAACGAATGTATCCGTATATAACGAATTTCAAAGGAAACATTTGTCCGAAGCAATTTTTGAGATTTCTCCCTGTATTCGTTATACTGATAACGTGCAT